AGAAGTAATAACTTAGTGAACAGCAAGCGAAGACGTTACTGGGCATCTCAAGAATAAAATACACCAGTTGAATGATTTGCAAATAGTTTTCAATTTAGACTTGGACAAGTCCAGATTGGACAAGGAATCAATATCATCGATTATGATCTCGAAAAAAAATTACAGAACAAATTTCGCTTCGCCTCTAAAAACAATAGATCTGATTACCACACGATTAGGGACTCAAAAACAGTTGGCTTGGCTCACATATAGCTTGTAAATTGTTTTCATCACTTCAAATTATTTGAAGCTCCTTCAACCCTTTGAGAATCAGTGATGCGCATTGATCTCCATAGGTTTTGTTCGTTTAGTAGCTTCCGTAAATATTAAAGGGTAATGCATCATTTTTTCGCAAAACTTCAAACTTAAATATCTAATTCCTGTCAATCAGATGATTATTACTGTGAAACTTGCTATTTCTAATCTAGCCAATAAATGAAGTATACAGAGTAATATTGTACACAAGTATTTTTTCTTGTCATAGATCTAGAGACAAAATATTTTTACCTAAAAATAGTGCTGATAAAATCATGTCCGGTGGCAGATTATAAAATTATAATAGAGATATAAAATTATATTCGGGATCATCTATGTAAAAGAGATTAAACACTATAGTTGAAGCATTTTTGGATCAATGATAAAACTGATAAAAAGAAGGATTTTTAGTAGGTAGCTCAAAGTTTTGTGGATCATCCCATTACGTATGTATTATTGACTGAAGTGAAATATAGAAGCTCTATGCTGAAGATATCTGAATACTGATACCACTAAATTTTTCTTTTCAAATTGGAATTATATATAACATCGCTGGAATAAACATTAGATTCAAATATTTGGTACATTTAGTTTTTGTCCGAAAATAATCTTATCTCCAGAGAGTTAAATCCAATTAGTTTCTAATCGAATATTTTCGTTCAGATTTTGCAAGAAATTTGCGTTGAAAACAAACTGGCAATCAATTGTCAGTTAATGTCTAATTAATATTGCTACAGTTGATGATGACTCATTAAACCATTCCGATCTAACTTTTAATGATTGAAATGTCAATCAATTCATATGACTTTTGTTAATTGCAGCAATATATACATGCAAAGTACAGTTTCTGTTGATAACTAAATTATTGATGTTTTAAGAAAAGAGTTTCTATCAAAGACTAAATCGTAATGAAAAGGATTTAGTTAGAAAAAGTCAACTTTCCTTTCCTCACAAACTGTTAATATTCTCAATGAATACGTATTCCTTGAGTCACGTCTCGGATCATGTATATTTATGCGTTGTCCAGCCATGAAGAATTATGCGAAACTTTAAGGTACTTTTTACGTATATTTAACTACTACCGTAAGTAAATTTTTACATGTATCAATTGAAAGCAATTGACAGAAGATGCTGATTGAATCCGTTGTGATGTCACAAATCATAAACAAGAATAGAAAGTTATCTCGAAATTTTAATCGATTTTAATGAAATCTAACTAAGAAGTGGAGAAACAAGTTATTATATATATATATGTTCAAGCAAAATCGATTTATTTTTTTGAGTAAAAAACATACTAACAAAAAAAAAAGGGTTATTTTAGATCATACGATCGAAAATTCTTGACATATTTTATGCTGTAAGTCTCGTATTTGGCTCTACGGCAACACCTGAAACTATTGATGAGCGTACATTTGACAGTAATTAAATCTTTCTGAGGAAAACTATCGAATAAAATTGAAAAAAATTTTCAAGAAAATCAAATTCTCTGCTCTAAAAATATGAAGCATCTTACCAGTGACAAATCGAAAGTAATCTCAGCTGGTTCTTGTTGAACCTAAAATAAACAGAGATATATAGGATATAGCTATTAAATGTAAATTCGCTGTTTATAGATGTGATCGTGACATATAAATAAATATATTAATAAGTATTTGTATTGACAATTCTTAAGATCAAGACACAACGTCTCACATGCGTTCTGCATTTGTTGGTTAATCTGCTCGAATTAGCTCAAAGCACAGACGTGTGGATGATAAAACGGTTCGAATAGTTCCCTCTTATGTGCTTGATAACTGTCAAAACTATTTTTTTGCAACCGTTGCGCATGACTCAAAACTGTATAATTCGAATTTAGCTAGTCACTATATTATTTTTTGTAATGTGTCTGTTGTTACGCTTAGAGTTACCATTATATTTTCAGTAACCGTTCTCATTTCAATAACCTCAAAAATTAAGTGCAATCCATATTTTACTTTTATAGTACTCAGGTCTTGTGCAATACTATTCATCTCATACGATCCATTCACATTAGCATTCTACAGTATTTCGAGCGAGATAAACTTTTTTTCTTCAAATGAACACAAAACAATTTAACTGGATATATGTACATTATATTTTCCAAAATTTTAAAAAAATTCAAATTTTTCAGTTAACATTAAGTATAGATCAGATTATAAAATACTTTCTTCTTTCTCTCTACGATAATTCATAGTTTTAATAAATAAAAACAAAACAAAGAAGAAATCAACCGGCTTGTTTTATCACCTGAAACTTGACTTGTTTTCTTCACAGCTTCAATAATGAGCTGCGTAATTCCATTTCAAATGAATAAGTGAAAAAAGAAGACTTTCGTTCAAATAGCAAAGGAAACAAAAGATAAAACTTTATATAAATTATAAATTTATAAATTCAAGAGCACACCGCTGTTGAGGCACCAAAGAAGGTAAAAGATAAATTTTATATAAACTGAATGTAATGCCAATAGTGCTGGAGCATCAGTGTTAATCTTAAATGTTAATGCAAATGCATGGGAATTTTCGGAACGACACTAACGCAACACCCCTACATTAAAGTATTCAATTCACTGAAACATCTTTTTCCCGCTTAACTGACCCTTTATTTCAGTGTCACAGCATGGGGGTGTGCAGCTTCTCCTCCTATTCTTTACTTTTTTTTGCTGCTTCCACAGGGGTATGTTATCGAGTTTATAAATTTATAATTTATATAAAATTTATCTTTTGCTGTTTTGCTATCAAAACATGGGAGCCATTTTTTCTTTCATTTATATTCGAACTCGAATTAGACATCTACTCACTTTAATGTTTGTTAATTTCTTTTTTTAGCTGATTCACTTCTCTTTGTTGCAAAATTTTGTACCGTGCAAGTTTCAGTTTCTAATAGTAATGACGATTGGAAGAAAATAAAACGATTCATCTTTAAACTGTTGTAAAAATGGATATCACTGACTTGATCGGCATCTAGTTCGATCATTAATCCGCTAGAAAACCTATCATGCAAAAGAAATGAAATAGAGTACATGGTTAAAGAAGTGCATAGTCATATACCAGCTATTTTCAATAGGAAATTATTGCATTGCTATCTGTTAAGATGAGGTTACCATTTGAATCGAGTGAAAACTTTGTTCTAGAAAACAAATAGGAATCATGCGTAATGAGAGTGTCCTGGTACAAAACTAAACGCGTAAATGAACCAAATGAGGAAATCTTTACTTAGTTGTTACAGACTTCTTGAGTGGTCGATAAAGTTTGTTTTTACTCTTTGAAAGTTAATTATAACCTCTTTATTTAAGAAGAAATATGAGCATTTATATAAGGAGATAAAAGAGAGGAAGATGGTCATTTTGTTTATTCTCAACCTCACAAATAGATATACTTGGAAAGAAAAGACGATGTTATATGCTTTTAATCCAACTTGAAAAAATACCATTTAAGTAAGATTGAATCAAAGGGAAAGAAAAAGAAATCATGAAAAGAGAGAAAGTAATAAGGAAGGAAATATGGAAAATACCATGTATTATGTGTGTAATAATAAATAGCGAGTAAATATCGTCTTTGTTTGCTAACAATAGTTGAGTAGATGTGTGAATTACTGAGGATATTGAAATGATATCATCTGCAGGCATAGTACAATAGAATCCATAAACAAATTTTCTTATCAGATATGAGATATAATAGACCCCATATTATTAAATCTTTGAGGATGATGGGACATACATTGTCTCACCTGTTGTCTAGTAACAAAAATCTTTGCTCTTCTTTTGAAGTTTATGACCTGTAATGTAATATAGATCGTCTCATGCATATCTTTTCTCCCTATCTTCCTGCCATATAGATTCGTCTCAAATGTTTCCTTTTCAGAGTTGACACCAGACAGCTTTTGCTTTCCAGTGCCGCCAGCAGTCGATTGGATGAATTCTACTGTACATTAGCTATTTAGATCAAATCTCTTTTCCGTTCTAATTTCAAAAAAAGTAAGTTCATAAGAAAACTAACACGAAAATGTAACTATTTATTCTTTTTTGATTCAGGCAACTACCTAAATAGAACAAAAAAAATGAATTATTTGATCTAGGTTGAATTTAGCAGCTCATGAGAAAGAAATCGATAGAAACGTCAAGAGAACAATCAATCTTTTATAGCCAAATCGAAGATAAGATGTCTATTGAGTCAAATTTTGTAATGATGAATCAGCAAAAACTCGATCTTATCTGAAGGGACCGATTCCAACTGTCTTCTTCGTTTCTGTTATTATATACTAATGTCATACTATCTCTCTTCCTTATCTTGATGTATTGTCATAAAATTTGTATGTGTTCATTGTGAGCCAAACACAATAAACTGATTGAAGAACTAGTTTATTATTGAAAAAGAAATTCTGTCTTCAAAGGTTAAACAATATTTTGTCAAATCAAACAATATAAAAAAAGACATCTACCATCCGTTATCCATCAAATGAAGTAGAATTGACTATAAGAAACTTCGCTTTTTTCTTTCAAAAAAGCAGAGCATCCTATCAAAGGATGTGCCCATCATTAGTGCACCATGACTATAATTCCAAACAGTGAAGTTAAGCAATTGTCCTTCTTAGATTTATTGATATATCCATTAAATTATAACTTATGAAATTACAGGTATTTACAAAACAACTAGCAAGAAAAATATCGCTACAAATAGAAAACTTCATATTTATTGCTCTGATGATGATTGATTGTCAGTTGGTAGGGTTAACCGTTCAGATCGTACTTCAAATTTGAGATTAATATCAGTTTTGGTTTCATTATCATGATCATCAAGAACTGTATAATTTGACATTAGAGATTCTTTGACAGCTTTTTCATGACACAAATCACATAGACGATGTTGAGAGCTTAAAAAACGAAAGTATTTTTAAGAAGTAGAAAAAAAAAAAGAAATATAAACAAACTTTGGTGTTGAACCTTGATACCAATGATTTGAACAATAATAACAAAATATCTTGTGACAATGACGACAACGATACTAGAAGAAATGAGTTTCAACGAAAAACGAATCAATTGAAGAATGTTTATCAACATACTTTCCTCAAAGTCCATCCAAATAGTGTTTCACATTTTGTACATTTCAGAACATCGTCTTCATGCACCCATTGTTTCGATTGTTCTTCTTCCAGCTTAATTTCATATGAATAGATTGAATTAAATAAATCAGCTTTTTCACTAAAATCGACATAGAAATAAAAACATTCAAATAAATATTATACATATATTTTTATACCGAACAGCTTTAATTAATCTTCGTTTCATTTCTTCGAAATCAAGTGTTTTTTCGTTTATCGAAGCTTCAAGTTGTTCTTGAGTTTTAATCAGTTCCATCTATCAAAATAACATATGATATAAGAATTCTATCCGTTTTATCCTTACTCGTTCTTTTTCAAATAGCATTCGTTCATTTTCAAATAATTTTGTTGTCTAACATTAAAGTGAAATATTTACAATAATCGATAAAATAAATTTTTTTTTACTTTTTCAAGTTCATTTGTCAAATGTTCAATTCGTTTGTCTTGTTCAATTGAATGATTCGAACGTTGTTCTTGCTAAAAGACAAAAACTATCAAATTATGTTGAAAAAGAAAAAGAAACACATACAATTGATTTCAGATAGTTGGTTTGTTCATCGAATTTACGTTGTAACTCATTGAAAACCGCAGCTTTCGTTTCTAGTAAAGCTTGATATTTAGCTGTTTCGCGTTCATAGTCTTTAAATTTCTAGAATATAAATAAACTTTATAAAAGTTTTAATTAAAATTATTGTATAGAAAATTATTGAGTAGAAAGGCTGAATTTGAAAGAACAAAAACCAAATTGCATTTGACTGAAAAAGAAGTTGAATAAAGAAAAATTCTATATTTTTAAGAACGGCATTTTGATCTTCAGATCTGATGTTATTGAAAATTTATATCTGATTTCGTTCTTTTAACAAAGTTGATAAACGTTTTGGGGTTTTTTTTGTCTTAGGTTAGAACTGTTTTTTTTTCATGAATGGAAACTTCTTTTCTTACATTTTCTGTTGTTGTGCGTTGAATTAGAAAAGTCGAAAGTTGAAAATTAAGATTATTGATTTCATCTTGTAAAACATCTTTTTGAGATTTTAATTTTTCCGTTTCATTTTTCAGTATACTTTCATCTATTAATTTATTATCATCTATTGTTTGAGTAATTTGATCATGTTTGTCTATTGAACATTGAGTTTCAACATTATTTAATAGTATCTTATCGTGCTTTGACTGTAATTCAAGTTCTAATTGTTGACAACTGTGAAAAGCAAAATTTCAATTGAAATGAATATTCGAAACAAAACTAAATAATTACCGTTCTTTCCAATAATTTAAAGCATTTTCTGGATATTCATCAACAGATGAAATTGAATGAGCTGAACTATCATCAGTTATTGATAATTCAAGGTTCTAAAACAAAATAAAATAAATTAAATTTATATTGATTAATTAAATATTTTAATATTTTACTTGAAATGATGATGGAGTCATCGGAGAGGATGAAATCATCATTTGTGAAGGCAGACTATCCTAAAACAGAATTTTATTCTCAAAAAGAAACACGAAAGAAATTTTTATCTTATACCATAGATAAGAAACTAGATATACTATTTGTACGTAATCGTGATAAAGAATCAGGCAAAAGTTTTTGACGATAATCAATTGATCTAGATAAATAATCTTTAGAGAGTTTTGACAAAAAATACGATCATTATATTACTCTGCTATAGGCCAACAAACATCAAGCTGATAATGTAAAATTGAAAGAAGATCAAATTGAACATCATTTAATTGATATAATGCTTGAATGATACGATTCATATAGTCTGGTTTGGTCCAAAAGCATTCATCATTATAAAATTGACTGAAAAAAAAATGTCTTTGTATTATTTGTTTCTTTTTTTTTATATTTTAAACTAACTTTACCTTACAAGTTTAGTCATCATAAAACTTTGTTGTATAACATCACCCAAACGATGATTTTGTAAACAAAAACGAAGAAATAAACGACCACGACCCACAGAAGTTTTTACATCTTGTGTATTAAGAACATATAATACTGTATCATATAAACCTTTACTTTCTTTAAGTGCAAGAACAAAAAAATTCCAATAGTTTCGTTTATTATTTAGCAATGATCTTGTATCTACAAATGATTATTTTAATCAAAACAAAATATTCAAAGAATATCTTTTCTTTTATACTTTTTAAATCGATTTGTAACAATTGTTCAAGATGTTGAAAAAATATTTGTAAATGCGTATTTGAATCATCAATAGGAGTTGCGTGTAAATGATCAATATCATTATTGGATATTGTAAATTCAGCATGAATTCTATTTACTTTATCTAATGTTACATGCTATATATTTTCTTGAGATTTCTTTATTTTATTTAAATTACCTTCTATTACTTGAATCGATCGTAATATAGAAGTAAGTTTACGCGTATCTCGTACAGACATTTTAAATAATTGATAGAACAGAAACAGCTCATGTGCTTTTATATTTATAATGTGCTTTGATCGCTTTTGATTGGTGATTGGTGTTATCAATAAGAGGAAGTATGAGGTCACCACTGATGCGGATGAATGTTGCATACATACATTGGAGCGAGACATATGTTACTACTAGATGGAATAAATCTACGTTACTAAGTGACTGATAACGGAGAAGTTATCATACATAAGCAAAAGAGAAAAGATCACTCTTCATTACCTTGGTGATTGTCACTTACTCTCGATTAACATTATATTATTATGCACTGGCTATCTGACTATCAGAAAAAGAACCTATTATATATATCAATAGGAATAAATGCTATTCTTTAACTTTCCAGCTGCATATATTCAAAAATATTTTCACTTTAATCATAGCGCCCTCACTCTGATGCAGTGTTGTGTATATAAATCACACCAATCAGTATGTAGACGTGATAAAGGTAAAAGTGTGCTGATATTTGTCATTAGATTTAATGCTGATTTGGGTATGCTTTCGAAGATTGAATATTTATTCATATTTTTAAACTGTTCTAATTTCTTACATAGTTCGATGAAGTTTTTGAAGATTTTATATTCAAAAACGGACACTTCTTCAGATTAAACACACACTTCTTCAACGTTACACAGTGCTGTGTCTGCCAATGCATTCATACGATTGTGTCTAATCTGAAGAAGAACCGAAGAATGCCTTTGAGTAGATTGTTCAAGAAGATTTCTTCGTATTATGTTTGTATGAGTCTTAATAGATATGCACTACACTAAATAGACCTTGAATATGAGCTAAAGCATCAATTATATAGTTAAAATCAATGATAATGAGAACGTAGAGTAGTTCGTCACAGTTCATTGAGCATTTATCTTCATTATTAACTTTTCTTATTCACTTTCTTTTTTCGATCGTCGCATACAACGTACAAAAAAACCTATGGGAAATTCGAAAAGTACTCGAAAATTTTTGGAATTGAGACGTTTAGAGGAAATAACAGGCATACCACGACAAAAATTTTCGAATTTGCACGACGAATATAAGCGTAAAAGTGCTGATGAAAATGAAGTGCTTGTGGATAGAAGTGATTGTCGTCATTTTATTAATCAAGTGGGTGTTGGTGCTAATAATCAAAGATTAGTGGATACTGCTTTTGAATTTTTTTTATGTGACGGTAAAATGACTACTGAACAACTTTTTTCTTGTGTGGTCATGCTGAGTGAAACAATGGATGGTGTTGATCGACTCACTTATGTTATTGATACACATAATCCGAAAGGTGCTGATGAAAATATTATTACACGTAAATATGGTAGAAAAATTTTGAAATGTATTAATGAATTCTTCGATATTAAAAAAGCTTCTCCACCAGCACAAGTTTGGATTCAAGTATGTGGTGGCACGGACAATCCAGAAGTAACACGAGACCAATTTATTAAATATGTTAGTATAACGTCTCCATACCGCGATTTTTTAGTTTAAAAAAACTAAAATTCTATTTTCTATACTATTTTTTTTGTTGTACTCCATTTCGACGAAATAAACGCTTTCAAATATTGGCATACATGAAAATCTTGTATTGTTTTTGTATTTATCGTCATTTCACATAGAAGCACGACATCTGTCACGAACTTATTGTTCCTCAAAATACCATCAATATTCATTGGTACAAACATCAAACGAATCTTCGAGTTACAGTATCTACCAAAAACGTACTTCATAGAATTTCTTTTCAACATTTGTTTTCAAATTGTTTTCTTTATTTTTTCTTCGTAACATATGGCATCAGGTGATGATGAACAATATGATGATAATTCATCAGGATTTTTCTCTAATGACCTCGATCAACATGATACAGACCGTGATTTATATGCTATATTACATATTAATAAAGATGTATGATAATATTAAAAAAAAACTATTCGACTCAATAATTATTTATTGCATATTATATGTCTTTTAGGCAGATGCTGCAACAATCCAACAAGCTTATCGTCGATTAACTCTTTTTTATCATCCTGATAAACATACAGATCCACGAAACAAACAATTAGCAATGGATTTATTTATTCAAGTGAAAAAAGCTTATGATATTTTAAATGATCCACAAAAACGTGCTATTTATGATGTTGTTGGTATGAAAGGTTTAAAAGCTGAAGGATGGGAGGTATAATCGAATTCGATCATAATGATAAATATGTAATTCATATTTGCAGATTGTAAGTCGAACGAAAACAGCTCGTGAAATTCTTGATGAATATGAACGACTAGCACGAGAACGTGAAGAAAGACGTTTTAATCAGATAACTAATCCAAGTGTAAGTATATTAAAATAATATTCAATATCATTTATTTTATACATAGGGTTCGGTACAAATGTCGATAAATTTAATAGATATATTCGATCAAATGAGCTCATCTGATCAGAACAGGTTACTTCAAATGAAAAAAAAAAGAATCCATTTTGAACTCTACTTTGTTTTTTCTATTAGTGATTTTTCACCAATCATTGAAATGACTGAATTTACAGTTGCGCAAAGTATTGATATACCATTAACAAGTCAAGATACAGCAACAGTAACTGCTGTAGCAACAACACATAATGGACGTGGTTCAGGTTCTTTAACAACATCATTTCGTCGTGTTCTTGCTGATCTATCTTGGTTTCGTGTATGTTTTTGTTATTATATTTTTATTTTTCGCATCTTTTTAATGATAAAAATCTTAGATTGATTTAAGTTTTGGTCAACATAATCTAGCAGCATTTCGTTATTTCCGACGTCTTACACAGAAACTGTAGGTAGAAATAGTTTTCATAGACGAATTAATTGTGACGTGATTTTTTCGTCAGTTTAGCCAAGCAAGTATAGCAACTACATTTGGTCTTGTTGATGGTGGCTCAGCTATAGCAACACCAGGCTTTGTATTTTCTATAAATTATCAATTAAGTCATCATTTGACAAGTAGTCTTCAATGGAGAACAGGTGTTGATTCATGTATGAAAGGTGGTCTTCATTTTGATAATCAAAAATTAGCAGTATCAAGTGCTATTCAAGTAAGTATTCTAAATAAAAGTCAAACAAATGATATATTGAATAAATTTCAGCTTGGATTAGTTAATACATATGCAGCTGTCGATGGTGTATATCGATTTCCTAATATTTGTAATGTACGATGTAGTTTTAAGTATGAACATGAATAGTTGATAATTGTTTTTTGTTTTAATTTTGTTCTTTTTTTTCTGAAAGATTGTTTATATTTGGACCATGGTTAGAATATGGGATTGATCGTCAATTAACAAAATATACACATGGTTCAGCATCAGTCGCCATTAGTTCAAAACTGGGCGTATTATTAAGATTAAAGTATGTTCATAGAAGTTCAATCTAAGAACAAAATAAAACTAAACGATTTAAACATGGAGTTTCATTCGATTTCAGACCTTATAAAGAGCGAAAGTCGATAATTCTTGAAATTGGCGCTCTGAAGAAATTTGATTTTTTCTATGTCAAACTATTACACAAGGTGTCCGAAAGCGAGCTCTAATAGAACTAGTCATATGACACTTATTTGTGTTCTACACAAGTCGGTTGAAATAGTCTATGATCGTTACATTTCCATTGAATCCGATAGCCGATGATAATCAACAATTGCTATCTATCGATCTCATGAGTGATCAGGCTTGTTTTCATATAGTTCGATACTATTTTTCAAGTACTTGAAACTACATATCAGTACAAAAAGCTCAACATTTTGTCTCAAGAACAGTATCGAAAGGTTTCTTTGTATGATTTGTGTTTATTCTCTTTCTGTGTCTTTATACCATTTTGAAGCGCTTGAAAAGTGCCGTCGAGTCATATGAAAACTAGTCTGTCACTCATGAGATGGATAGATAAAACACATCGTATATTACCAACAATCGGATTCAATGTAAAAGTGACAACCATTGACTAAGTCTATCAAGACTTACTTTCGGATATCTTATGTAATAGCTTAACATAAAAGAAATTAAATTCCTTCTGCATAACAATGCCAACCACTATCAAGTCTCTCATTTAGTATAGATCAATGAGATATATTTATTTAGATTCACTCGTGGTAATCAAGCATTCACATTTCCATTACAACTTTCTCAAGATATTTTACCCAGTGCCATATTCTATGCTACAGTTGCACCAATTCTTGCTTATTTTATACTTGATCGTCTTGTTATCCGACCATTTGCTCGATCGGAAGAAGAACGGTAAAAACTAATATATTTAATTTTCATTGGTCAAGTATTTTGCTTTTTTAGAGAACAAAAGAAACGTGAAGATGAAGCACGTGAAAATCAAACTGAACGAAGACGAGAAGCAATGAATGCTCAAGAAGTGCTTCGATCACTTGTTGAACAAATTAAAGATAAAGAAGGTTCACAAGGTTTAATTATACTTGAAGCACGTTATGGGCAATTAGGATTAACAACAACACATGAAAATTCAATCAAAATTATTGATGTTACTGTACCATTACAAGCACTTGTAAAAGACTCAACATTAAGAATAGGAACAACGGTATCAAAATCAAATTTGATCGGTTTTTATGATCCATGTATAGGTGAAGAAAAATCTCTATTTATTAAATATTCACTTCGATCACAAATACATACTGTTCTATATAAAGATACTGATCCTATTATCTTACCTAATCGAGGTAATGAAATTGACTTATTTTGATTTATCAGAATTTAATAATTTTTTTTTTATCATTATAGATCATTTAGTAAGATGAAAATTTTCATCCGTCAAAATTAGTTATTCCCATAGGTAAAATTATGGTTTCTGTTTTTTTTTGTTGATTTTTACTTTTTTTTTCAATAAACACGATTTAGTTTCTCCTTATTCAATATATTTTCTCAATATATTGTATATATTTATTATATAAATGGATACAGACAGCAAGGCTCAATCATTTTTTGCATGTGTCATAACATTTCAATAGAAACCTTCAAAATGAGGGTGTAGGTGTGAGAATGTAGTCCCTTTCTTAATCAACATCTACATCCAGAGTCTGAAGAGGTGAATGAACAACTTTTTCAAGTTATTTTATTAAATCTAATTGAACATCATGTAATGCAATTGATTTTCCATCATGTTCTTCAGATTTCATTGATTGAACAATGCCAACAAAGAAAATAAGATTATCAGCTGATTGAACTAATTCAATAGCAGCTGAAAAACCACTTTGATTACTAAGAGATATTTTACAACCATAAACAAATATTATATTAAGGAAATGACCGGAAATAGAAATAAAATTAAATAAAAATTCATTAACTTTTAAATACCTTGTGTTACTCCTTGAAATACTGTTATAGGATCAAGTGAAAATGATGCTCTTTCATAATAATTTCTTTGCATTCATACAGTTGCATTTGCTGTTGGCCTAATTAATGCAATTTTTTATTTCCTAATTGATTTATATTTAATGGTAATGATTTATTTCCATTTTCAAAATAAAACAATACTTTATTGTGCAACTTGTAATGATAAATGTTGTGCCTTTACTGTATCAACATCAGTTTTTGATAATTTTCTAAAGGATTGTTATTCTGGTGGATCAAAATAACCAAGACGAACAAGAACATTAAATGTTAGTTCAAATGTTTGATCAATATTAGCTTGAACAATTATTTTTTCTATCTAATACTGCTTGAGTGTGTGATGAATAAAAATCTCCACAATTAAAATCCTGTCCAGCATGTAATGCAGTAGTAACTGTATCTTCTACTATTGATGTATAATGATTTTCATTCATAATTGTTGAAACAACACCGTAATCACTAACAACAAAACCACGAAGATGATGTGATTCACTACAATAAAACAATAAAAATTTATTTAAAAAAAAACCTTTTTTTTTACCGTGCAATGATTTCTAGTATAAATTGATTTGCACATGATGGTACACCATTAACAGAATTATAACTATACATAATACTTGCAACTTTTGCATCATGCATACAACTTTCAAATCGTGGCATATATGTTTCAATACGATTTTGATCACTAACAAAAGCATTGAAATGATAACGATCGGTGCCATTTCAATTTTTTAAATCAAATGAAGTATAATGTTTACAATCGGTAGAGATTTTTAAACAACGTTCATCTTCATCACATTATAAACCATTGATTAATGTATAAACATATTCTGATGTTAAGAATGAATCTTTACCTGAGATTACTTGATCACGAAAACGTCGTGAATCACGAAATATGGTTATATTTGATGCAAAGAGAACCACCACGACTATCATTATTAAATACATGAGCTTCTGTTGATATAATACCAGTTATATGATGCATAAGACTCATATTAAATGATGCAGCAAAATTAATAGACATTGAAAAACTAGTAGCTACAAATTAATGATCACCAAATGAAACAATTGGTGAATATGCAACACCATGTACAGCTTCTTATTATCATTTAACTTTGAGTAAACCTAAGTGAGGTAGATTGACCATGATCAGCTTAACCACTCTTATTTTCAGCACGCAATATTTTCATAGAAATATTTGCTAGAAGTACTTATTTACATTTTACTTTATTGATATATTAAACAAATCTGATAATTACATTCAAGGAGAACATTATTTACAACAAAGGAAAATAGGCATAAAAATCTTTTGAATGTACTAAATTTATGTTTCCATTAAATGTAATACATTTCAATTTTACACAGTTGATACGCGTTGTATTTCTTGTGCAATTCTCTGTCACAGTTACGAAGTGATCGTATCGAACATAAAGCTTAGTAAGACAGGGTAGACGTGAATTTAAACTAGAAAGGAATTGTTCCACATAGTCGATATATACACAAGAAAAGATAAGTTCGTTAAGATTAGGATATTCAATAATCGAGGATATTTCTTCAGAATTCTCTAATTGGTGTGATGATTTCTCTTTTTGTTTTCTTGTGTTAAATATTGTTAGACGACTGAGTAATGGAAAGGCAAGCGATGGTTCGAGCAGAGAATGCGTTCTCGAAAGAACACACAATATCAAATTTTTCGATACAAAACATTCAATGAATAATACTCATCTCTTTACTTTATTAGAAAAAAATTGAAGATAATTAACACTAAGAAAAAGAATACCACTATCTTCTATATTGTTCACGGAACATTTTTGAAACTACATAGCGTACACCATTTACATTTAACAAAAAAAGCTTACGACACTCGGTATTCCCAGGCGGTCACCCATCCAAGT